ATGAGAAAAGAAAAAAAAAAATGGAAACAAAGTCTATGTAAATAGGGAAGGGTGGAGGGGGTGAAGGGCGCACAGGTAATGGGGGAAAAATAAGAACCAAGATACATCATGTTCAGGTACAAACACCCAATGATAAATGTAAACGTATTGTTTACCTAAAATGTACCAATAAAAGAACTTAAGGGGAAAAAAAGAAAAAGTAAGCCAAGAAATTTGTTATTAATTAACAAAGTTTGTAGATTCAAATACACATACATGTTTGTACTTTTTGTTTTTTGATTAAAGTAGAATTTGTCCCTGTCATTTAACACACACTAACCTTGTTGAAGTGGCTTGGATAGGCAGAGTTTCCCAGGCCAAACACCGCGTATCTCATACCCTTCAGGTAGGTTTTGCCAAACCGGAAGTCCCTAGCCGCGTCCTCCAGCCACCTGCAGAACCACTCCGCACTCTCGGTCGGGCACCCGTCGGTGTACGTGGCCACCAGGAAGGCACAGACATTCTGACTGGTGACCTAACCGAGACAGTGACCACTTCACAAGGCTATTCCATGTGCAGATTACCGAGCACACTCAAGACACGACCTACTGTGATGAGGCAAAGGCTTTTAATCTGAGGACACAGCGCACTTTCACTACGTGACTCATTCTCACAGGGAAGGAAACACTGCAAGCCGGCCTTGCATGAGGAAGAAATGCACCCTTCCTCCTGCCCAGGTGTCTCCCGGGGGCCTTCTTCACAGACTCCACTCCACTTTGTAGAATACAAATTCCTATCGTCCCCATTTGGTCATAGAAAAAACAAAGATCCCAAAGAATCGGGGAAAATGCAGAAAGGCTCCTGAAAAATGACTTGGAAAAGTAATGCGATAAAACTTTTAAATATAAGGGGCTGGGGCAAAGCTCAGTGGTAGAGCACATGCTTAGCCCTCAGTTTCGGCACCCAAAGAAAAACAGAAAAAGGTTTAAATGTAAAGAGAATTAACACTCAATGCAAAGTAACAACATCCTCAGTCCTGCTAGTCCGAGTGTATTTCCACAGTTCCAAGTCATGAAGTGGGTTGTACTCTTACTTATAATTAAGTACCCACCTTGGCTAGTTAATTTCCATAAATTACAGTGGTATCTCAGTTCATAGACTCAATACCCTCCACACTTCTGGTGCCAAACCGAAGTGGACAAGAACCAAATCAGATTTCCCCATACAGTCAACATTGAATGTACCCATTGACTTTTATTTGGTTCTTATCCAACTCAGTTTGTGATCAGAATCACGGAAAGAACTGAGTTCGTGAACCGAGGTACCACTGTATTTACAAAGCTGGGGATAGTAGTACACATCTGTAATCCCAGCACTCTGGGAGGCTGAAGCAAGAGGATCTCAGTTTGAGCCCAGCCTGAAAAACTTAGTGAGACCTTGTCTCAAAATTTTAAAAAAAGGACCGGGGATTTAACTCAGTTCTTTCGCCACCTGCTGTGCAAGCGCAAGGACCTGAGTTCGATCCCTGGTACCAAAAAAAATTTTTTTTAAAAGACTGGGGATGTAGCTCAGGGTAAAAACTCTGGGTTCAATCCCCAGTGCTGCAAAAACAACAAAATTATTTATATATATACATATACATACACACATTATTTATAGCACATTTAAGCACACTCATCTGTATACCAATGTTATCTTGGAGGAAGAAAGAAATGGACAGAACTGCAGCTACACACTGCAGGACTGCTAAACAACAGGCAGACTATAATTCATGGACAAATCTGTTTTGTGACTTATTGTTTTGTTTTTTGCTTGCTGGCTTGTTTTTGAGACTGAGTCTATGCTGTTCATGTTGCTCTGGCTGGGATCCTGGGCTCAAGCGAAGCTCCCAACCTTAGCATCTGAGGGTGGGTAAGTACTGAGGGTTTAACCTAGGGCCTTGGCCCTGAGCTGCATCCCCAGGCCTTTCTCTTTATCCTGAGACAGGGTCTCAGCGAGTCACTAAGTTGCCCAGGCTGGGCTCAAACTTTCGATCCTCCTGCCTCAGCCTCTCAGAGTGCTGGGATGACAGGTGTGTGCCACTGTGCCCTGGTCCACTTTAACCTGTTTAGTAGCTAGGACTCGTGCCCCCAAGGATGGATTTTTCTGATTGTTATTAAAGCAAAGATTCACTGGAATGCAGCCACACTCACTTGCTTTTGTCTATAGCTATTTTGTGACTTGATGGTAGCTGAAGAGCCCAGAAAACTAAAGATATTCATTGCCTACCCCTTTTAGAAAAATGTGTGGACCCTCAAGTAACTGTTTCTCCGACATCTACATCAGAATCACATGGAGCATTTGTTAAAAACAAGCCCCAGGGCCAGGGATTTAGCTCAGTGGTTCCAGTACCTGCCTCGAAAGCACAAGGTCCCGAGTTCTATCCCCAGCACCAAAAAAAAATAAGTCCCATAGTCAGGAATGGTGGCACACACTTGTAATCCCAGCACCCTGGAAGGCTGAGGCAGGAGGATCACAAGTTCACACTCAGCCTGGGCAATTTAGTGAGACCCTGACTCAAAATTTAAAAAGGGCTGGGGATGTAGCTCAGTGTAAAGGCCCTGGGGTCACTCTCCAGAACTGGAACAGGAATTAAGCAGGGCTAGGCTGGGACCTGAGAATCTGCATTTCTAACAAGGTGTCAGGAGATGCTGCTACTGCTGGGTTAGGGACCACACTATGAGGAGCACTGCTGAAAGGCAAAACTTGCTCACTGGGCCTAAGTGGATGGGAGGGAGTGAACTTTCCAAGTGAAAAAGTTAAATCCTCACAAAACTAAGCCATAGGCTGAGGTCACACAACTAAGAGACCCCTATCCCTCGAACTCTGTGCTCTGGACTTCTTGGTCTGCCTGTGTACCGTCCTCATGCAGGGCACACATGACCAATAACAACCTCCCTCCCCAGTGAGACTCCGAGACGGGGCCACAGGGGACTTCACCACTCCCCACGCTAATGTACCCCAGGAAAATCTAATGCTCCACGAACGGGCCCAGGCCCCACACCCAGGGTGACAGACATGCCACTCATTCAACACTTCTCATTCCTCCTGCAGTTCAATCCTCTGAGATCCCTTAGCAAGAAATTAAATTTATTCTGAATATTCTATTTATGCTAGAAGTCAGAAGGTTGATTAAATTTCAGCCTTAATTATACAAAACAGTAGGACAATCACCAACCTCTTCTGTCAGACGATCATCTGGATCATACTCTTTCAGATTAATAACTTCCACCGGCAGATCGAGGGAGGTAACTGCTTTGGCAAGAATTGCTGCAAATCCCTAGAAAGATAAAAAAATCAAGTGAAGTCTTCAAAAAACCAAAAAGCCCTCAATTACCTGTGTTGGCAAGAAAATGCAGCATTCCTCATGAAAAACTTGTCTCGTGACAGGTCTTTCCCATCATGAACACCTATGCTCTCACTCGAGCCAGGAGAGGGACTGAGCGTTTATGTCCCCTTGTCCTCCTCACTCTGTGACAGTGTATGCTGGCTTTTGGCATCCAGCTGCTCTGGCCCACACAATAAATATACAGAAGCCCAGATAGGGATGTGAGAGTGAGGGGACAGGAGAAAGCGCTCGGGAAGTTCAGGCTGACGGAAGGCCAGGGGCCTCTGGAGGGGCAGCAGCCACTACGAGGTGGGAGGGAGAGGGGCAGACCAGAGCCAACTGGTTCCAATGTGCGCTGGAAACAAATGCACACAACGTCTCAGGGCCTAGGCAACTTTCCCCAGGCTCCCCAGGCAAAAATTCTGCCAGCTCTTTGTTGGAGAAAGCTAAATGTTTGGAGAAAGCGAAAACTTCTGGAGAGATTTAAGTACCCCAAGAAAACACCTTCCTCTGTTTCATTTGTGTGGAGATCAGATGCGGAGGATGAGGCCTAACTGCCTTCATCTGTGAGCACCGAAAAGAGGGCACCAAGCGTGCCCACTAGCTGCAGGGAGAAGTAAAAGCACCTGAAAAGTAGACTCTCCAGTTGTTCACCCAGAGAACTACTGTGAGGGGAGGGAGACAGATGAACCCTGTGGAACTCTAATTGCTCGTGCCAAATCTGAGTGAATAAAGCCAAGGGGCGCCAGTCACTTGAGGCTCTATGTCGAAGGGAGACATGAGCCCCTGGCCCCCTGGATTTTAACCTGTTTCTGTGACTTTATTTTTCATCCTCGTCAGCCCTTGGTCAGGTTCGAGCTCACAGGCTGGTTCCTACACCCTAGGTGCCTGAACTACTAACTAAAACTATCATCTGCCAAAGCCAGGAATGGCACACACAACTGGAAGTAACTGCAGCCCCTCCCATCTCTGGTCACTCACAGCGGGGCTTGCAGAGGGGGACACACCCGGGGCAGAGAGCAAGCCAGCTCTGCCCACCCTGCTACTCCACACCTCACCCTGTGCCCCTCTTCCAGCTGCCTGCTCCTGAGCCAGGGTGTTTCTAAGAGAACGCTTGATAGTCGACGTAACTCAAGCAGTTCCCTGAATTTTATGACTGGTCCTACTGAGTTCTTGAAGCTGGGAAGGTGTGGGAAACCCCAAGGTTCTGATGGGCCTTTGCGAGTGGCGTGTGAAGTCAGTCTCAGGGACAGAGCCTCAAGCCCATGAAGTCCTCCGGTAACTCCTGCTGCAGGCATTGGGATGGGAGAGCCATGACAGGCCTCAAAGATAAAGCTAAGGCCTGAGCCAGACTGGAAGTAGTGAGGGAGCGGCCTGTGAGGTGGCCCAGGCAGAGGGGTCAGCTGTTGTCACCCAGAAAGAATAGGATGATGGTTCGGAGAGCAAAGGTGAAGAAGGGGAGAGGTAATTCAAACCCAGATTCATTCAAAAAGCAGAACAAAGGGGATTTGCTGACAGACTGGACATAGGCTGTAAGAAAAAGCAGCCAAAGGTTTTTTGGACTAAGCAAGTGGAAAGATGAGGCTGTCATTTAAAGAAATGGTAAGGATTAAAGTAGAACAGGTTTGGACAAAAACTGGAAACCCTGAGGATGCTGATTTTCAGATGCTTCCTAGACATCCACACAAAGATCTAAGACAGGCAAGTGGAACAAGAGATCAGTGCTAATCTGAAACATAAATCTGCAGGTCAGCATCAAATAAAGAAGCCAGCAAACAAGGGCCTGCAGGACCAACGCAGCCCTCTGTCCTGTGTGCAGTGGACAGGGATCCAGTCAGGCCAGCTCATTTTCCTCATATCTGTGGCTGCTTCCACACATCACAGAGCTGAGGGGTCACAACCAAGAGCACATGGCTCGCAACCTAAATAACAACTGCTATAATGATCATCCAGCTTACAGAACCTTTACAGAAAGTCTGCTAACCCATGACCAGCCTCATAAGTGCAATGTAAAGGTGGATCAGAAGATCCTGCAGGGCACTGGAAAGTGAGCGCAGCTGAGGAAAGACAGCCACAGGACTGCGCCCTGAGACTTGCCAATCTGTAAAGGTCAACTGGATGAGAGGACGCCGGCAAATGATATGAAGACAGACCAAGAAAAGAACCAGGAGGACAATGTACTAAGAGTGAACTGAAGGGAGTATCTGAAGAATAAAGGAGGATCATGTAGCTACCAGGTCAAGGAAGACAAAGACTGAGAATTAGCAACATGGAAGTGCCCAGTGCAGGGATGAGCACACAAGCCTACTGCAGGGGCTCACGATAAACAAGAGAGAAATCAGAGACATCGAGCCCACACAGAACTCTGCAAGTTTCACTATCAACAAGTAGAAAACAGGATGGTGGCTAGAGGAGTCACAGAGCCAACAAGTGGCTTGTGCCGTGACCCTCTCTGCCCAGAGAATCCCAAGAGAATCTACTAGTCTGTTCACACAACAAGAGAAACTCTATACAGCCTATCCCATCATTCTGTCCTACAAACAAAACCAAAGATCACGAAGAACATGGTAAGACCAGGCAGCAGGGGAAAGGCCAACAGCAAGAAAACTGAGAACACAAATAAATCAGAATCAGAAAAAGGAATTCAAACAGATACATTCTTAAATTATGAACAAGATACTACTATAAAAGTTGAAAAACAAAATAATTTCAAAATAAGGTTGGAGAGTCAGGGGTGTGCTGGTGCGTGCCTATCTAGCTACTTGAGAGGCTGCGGCAGGAGGATCACAAGTTTACGGTCAACCTGGGCAACACAGTGAGCACCAGTTTCAAAAAGAAAAAGATCTGGACAGAAAGAAAAGTTAAAAGTTAAAAAAGAAAGAGTTAAAAGAAAGAAAAAGTTAAAAGAACTATGAAAGGAAAGATCTGACACATAGAAGAAAAGGTCTAACATCCAACTAACAAGAGTTCCAGGAAGAAAGAAAAAGGAGAAGAAATCTATCCTAGAAATGTAGCAGGATTAATGCACAGAAATCTTTACAACAAAGACTCCAAGTGCTCACAAGAATGGCTGAGAAAAGGTCCAACCCTGTCACCTCACAACATTTTCAAACATTAAGGACAAAGAAATGATCCCAAAAGCAAAAGAAATCAAGTAGTCATCTACAGAGAAAAATGTGAATTCATCTCATCGGCAACACTACCTGCTAGGAGACAACAGGAAAATACCTTCAAAGTTGTAGGGCGCAAGTTTTCGATAGTCTTCCACACAAAGCTAAAGGGGAATTAATCAGATGTGACCCTGACCCGTTAGAATGTTCACAGGATACAGTGTTAAAAAGGAAGCCAGGTCCAGGGACATAGCACAAGGTCCCGAGTTCAATCCCCGGTACCAAAAAAAGGGACGCCATCTCTCCAACCTGTACCAATTGTGATGCAGACAGTAATATTAAACCACTGAGATCGTGTTATGTAACTAGTAAGAAGAATTCAAAATCTTTTTCATCACTGATAAATCTAGATACACAACATGAGTAGGTTTTAAAGAAATAACCCTAGAAGGAATGAAAACTAGAAAGGGATAACGCAGATTCTCTGCACCTGGAGTTGCTACCACTGTTTTTTGATGTTTAAAAAACACACACAGAGATCTAAATAAAGGCTTATATGAGTAACATAAAGCGGACTTTGGGTTGCTCAGGTACCTTTTCGCCTGTGTTCAGGTTTTCCACCTCTATTGCTTAAGGCTGAACTTAATAAATAACCTTTAACTATAACGTGAGTAGAGTACCTACCTAAACTCTAGACCTGGTGACATAAGAAGTATTGTTCCCCACAACATCCACAAGAGGGCAGCAGAGTCCTCTTTTGTAGTGTACAAAATTAACTTGATTTTTTTTTTTCTAATAATTCATTTTCAGGCTAGCCTGTCTTAGAATCTTTTCCTAGAAAGCACTAAATAGCTGTGATCTTCATAACAAAAAAAAAGTGGCTCTAAATACAATTAAAGAATGGGAGGCGGCTTTCAGCTAGACACCTGCATATTTATCTACTTTGATGTATCTTTACCACTATTAAAAATTAAAACAGTTTGTGAAAGTAACAGCCCATACTGGCCGTGACTCTTCCCCCACAGGCATCAGGAATGGACTTGGAACCCTCTCTGCTCTGCTAAGACAGAAGCTTCAGAACAAAGACCCTCCATGACAGGGACCACCAGACGCCACCAGCCAGCTGCACTTCAGCACGAGACAAGAAAGCCCTACGCAGAGCCAGGAAGGAAAAGTGTACGATGGAAAAAAAGGAGACAGATCAAAGAAAATTAGAAGTACAAGTCAGTTCACTGCTAAAAGACACTTTCTTTTTTTTCCTTTTTCCCCCATTAAATTTATTGGTACATTTTAGGTGTACAATACAGTTACATTCATCATTGGGATCTTGTACCTTTACGTGATGTATCTTGGTTCTTATTTTTTTCCCTATTCCCCTGCCCTCCCTTCACCCCCGCCACCCTCCCTATTTGCAAAGACTTTGTTTTCTTTTTTTTCTTTTCTCATATATTTTCTTTCCCCTTCTTTCCTTTCCCCTACCCTTCCCACTTCCCCTACTCCTTTAGACCTTTTCTTCCTATTACACAATATCAATTATACATTTTTAAAATTACAATATCAAGATCTAGGAGACATCACCATAGATTTTATAGAATTTAAAAGGATATAGAAAGCATATTTCAAAAATCTGTTTTGGCCGGGGATTTAGCTCAGTGGTTTCGCCGCCTGCTGCGCAAGCGCAAGGACCTGAGTTCGATCCCCGGTACCAAAAAAAAAA